CAGCAGAACAAACCCATAGGAGGCAAAGCCCCAAAAGTGGAGGAGAACGGGAACAAACCCAGCGAGGCCATTGCTGACTCTCCAGGAGTCTGCCAGGACAAAGCCGAGGAAAAGCCCACCCCTGCTCCTGCTGCCACACCCAAACCTGTTAGAACTGGACCAATCAAACCTCAGGCAATCAAAACCGAGGAAACAAAATCTTAGAGGCCGTGTTCCCGTGGAGGGTGGGGGGAAGGGAAGGGTGGGCGAGGTGTCAGCAGCGTCAGTTGGTGGCCCGAAGGATGAAGAGCAGCCTGCTCTCCCTGCCGGGCTCTAAGCAGCCCCACGGGGCATAGAAGCCAGCAGCAGCTGTGTGCCAGCTGCTGCTGTGTGTCCCAGCTGCTGCTGTGTGTCCCAGCTGCTGCTGTGTGTCCAGCTGCTGCTGTGTGTCCAGCTGCTGCTGTATGTCCCAGCTGCTGCTGTGTGTCCCAGCTGCTGCTGTGTGTCCCAGCTGCTGCTGTGTGTCCCAGCTGCTGCTGTGTGTCCAGCTGCTGCTGTGTGTCCAGCTGCTGCTGTATGTCCCAGCTGCTGCTGTGTGTCCAGCTGCTGCTGTGTGTCCAGCTGCTGCTGTGTGTCCAGCTGCTGCTGAGTGTCCCAGCTGCTGCTGAGTGTCCCAGCTGCTGCTGAGTGTCCCAGCTGCTGCTGAGTGTCCCAGCTGCTGCTGAGTGTCCCAGCTGCTGCTGAATGTCCCAGCTGCTGCTGTATGTCCCAGCTGCTGCTGTGTGTCCCAGCTGCTGCTGTATGTCCCAGCAGCAGCTGTGTGTCCAGCTGCTGCTGTGTGTCCCAGCTGCTGCTGTATGTCCCAGCTGCTGCTGTGTGTCCAGCTGCTGCTGTGTGTCCCAGCTGCTGCTGTGTGTCCCAGCTGCTGCTGAATGTCCCAGCTGCTGCTGTATGTCCCAGCTGCTGCTGTGTGTCCCAGCTGCTGCTGTATGTCCCAGCAGCAGCTGTGTGTCCAGCAGCAGCTGTGTGTCCAGCAGCAGCTGTGTGTCCAGCAGCAGCTGTGTGTCCAGCAGCTGCTGTGTGTCCAGCAGCTGCTGTGTGTCCAGCAGCAGCTGTGTGTCCAGCTGAGCCCCCCAGGCTCTCAGGGCTCACATCTGCTCTAACAGCATGAAGGCTGCTTTGGGGTGCGTGCGCCCCGTTTGGCTCACACCCTTCTGCTTCCCAAAGCCACAGCACGGAGAGTAGCAATGGTGGGGAGGCATTTCCTAGCTGACACAATGACTTCTCTTATTATCTTCAGCTGCTGTTTATCTTTTTATAAACCCTTGAGTATGAGAACATGCAGATCTGAAGATGGTGCTGGGCCAAGTAATGTGTGTTAAGTTTTTAGTGACTTAAGAAGCTTCTATCTTGTATAAACAGAGGGATCCAGGTATTTGCCACGCAAGGTTTAACCTAACACAGAGTAACACCGGCAGTGTTGGATTTCCCTCTGAAGGCAGTGCTTTGCTGGCTGCTGCTGCTTGGATGACAATTTACTGCATTTAGATCACCATATGAAAAAAGCTACTTGGCCACCTGTGTCCTCTCCACCCGCTGCCCCCTCAGTGGCTCTCACCCCTGGAGTTGAAGGTTCGTTGCATCAATAGTCAGATTTGTTCTGTTCACCCCTGTCCAGCTGTCTTTATATGATGCCAGTGGTCCCTAAACGGTTTCCAGTTTCTGTCTGTAACACAGCAACGAGCACTTAAACTGTGCCACGAGAATAAAAGAAACCTTATCAGATTACTGAGAGCTTTCTCTCAAAGGTGCATTCTTTATATCAGAGCTGCGTCGCACCACCTCCTTGCCCACAGTGTGCTGGAAAGTAGAATCAAGTCAAATAAATGCCTTTTTAATTGTATCCTCTAGTATTCTAGCTGTAGGACAGTACTGTATGATACTTCTGTGAATGTAAGATATCCTGTACCTGCTTATGATATGTAGTAGTGACTGTGCTATACTGGAGCTGTTTTTAATAATGTTATTCTAGAGGTTTTTTTCCAGACAATGATTGAAAAAGCTAATAAAAAGCACCAGGTACCACATCAGTAGCAGAATTTGCTGGTTCTTTCTGGGATTTTGGTTTTTTTTTTCCTTTTTTTTACGTTTTTTGGAAGGAAGAGTTGAAAGTCTAATGTGTATAATTTTGTTCAAATGACTGCAGAAGCTGGAAAGGCTGTTGCTGCTATTGATGCCTAGTGAATTGCTATTGGTTATCTTTTTATATAAATATATATATAATTTGAATTTTTGGAAACTAGCTGTGATGTCAACTTTGGAAAAAAGTATCCCACTTGTAGTGTGAGTTGGCATTGTACAGAAATTAACAGCCATATTGGTCTAGAAATGTTAAACTTAATTTTTTTTCCATTTGTACAGGGGTAACGCACTGTATGAAATATGTACGGTCTTATTTACATGGGTTTGATTACAGAAACTAATAAAGTATTCTCTAAATAAAGCCCCTGGCTGCTCTCATGATTGCTGCAGGAGGTGAGTGGAGCTCCCAGGGAAAGGCTCCTGAAGGAAAATGCTCCCAGAAGCTCCTTTGTGGCCTCTGGGTGGGATTTGCTGGGAATTCCAGTGGGTGGAGCTGGGGGTTGTTTCAGGCAGGAGCTGGGATGATGCCGATTGTCCCCTCAGCCAGTGAGTGACAGTGATGCCTGAAGTTGTGGCTTTCATATTTCCCAGGTTCTGTAGTGCACTGGTAACTCTGAACTCCATATGAAGTGTCAGCCAGTTCTCCTCACAGCTCAGGCACACACAACAATCCTTCTCCAGCCCCACAACCAAGGACACCGCTGCAGCTCCAGCCCCAAAAAGCACAACCAGCAGCGAATTGAGGAGAGCAATCTGGGAGGATGGGACTGCATCACCTGCAGCTGGAATGGGACAATTAACCCCAACATGGAAATGGACCAAAACTTACCAAAACGTGAAAACTCATAACCTCCATCTTGGGTGTAGCCTTGGCCAGGCTCTTGCAGTGCCCAAGGTGCATCCTTTGAAGGATTTTTAATAAATCCCTGCTTTATTCCTTTAACTCTGTCCAGCCCCTGCTCCAGGCAGCCTCTGGAGGCACCAACAGCCCAGGGGGAAAGGCACGAGTTCAGGGAGCCTGCCCTGCCCTGTGGGATCAGGACAGGCAGGATGTGCTCAGCTGGCCACCAGAGGGAACTTGATCCTACAAACACCGGGAACCTTCGGTGTCTTGGGCTCTGAGGAGTAATTCCTGCCTGGGGAGGAGGTGCTGGCTGGCTCTGCACCTCTGGGGAAAGGGAGGATGCAGCCAGGAGTGTTGGGGTGGCTCTGTAAGCACCACCAGGAGCTGGGCAGGTTAATCTTTGGTCAGAGGTGTTGCTGCCAATGCTGGGGTGGGGTGGGAAGCAGCAGCTTAGGGCCACCAGAGGAGCTGGAGTCCATTCCTGCCCAGGCTGGTTTTGTTCAGGGTAAAACTGCAGCAACAGGGAGTAAATCAAAAGTGCTGGAATCCACAAATGCAGCCGTGGGCAGAAGGAACCTCTGAGCAGGTCACACTCGGGGTAAATCACCTTTTTCACAAGGATCTGTAGGATTGGAAAGGAGGGTGGGCATGGACTGAGTGAATGTGGACACTGCTTCCATCTAGAAATGGGCTAGAAAAGTAACTGAGTTGTGGTCATGTTTCCCTGCCCTGAGGTTGTCTTCAGCTTGTTTCATCTTAAAAGGACACCCCAAAAAGGGGAACTCATTCACTCTTCTATTTTTAAGGAAATGCTGCTGAAAGGATTACTGTTAAATTCTGTAGTAATAAAACCATTGGGAAGTCAGAGGAATTTCTCACAGTCGGCTGTGGGAATGTACCAGGCTTTGGACTATCAAAGGGAGTTTTTCTGCAGAAGTTTAATTAGAAGTAAATGTGCCTCCAAATAACCCAGGTTTGATGTGTGCCTCTCCAAAACCCCAAACCATGCCAGCTGCCTTTGAGGCCAGGTGGAGCTTTCAGTCATTGACCCTGGTTGATTGAGTATTTTCATGACATTTAATCAGATAACTTGCTTCTGGCTATTTACACTGGAGTAGCTCTTGCTTTTTTTTAATTTGAATGGGATTTGGTGTGTAATCTCTTTTCTAGGACTCTGGTCATCAGAAATAATTGTGCTGAACCTCCCAGAAATCAGGGAACAATTTTCTCCAGGGAATTCAATTTCTTTTTCCTTAATAATGTTGAGGCTGTGAAAAGGTTGTAACTTTTCTCCAGGGCAAGAGCCAGAGGGGGGTTAAATGTGACTGGGGCCAGATCCAGCACCCCCCTGGGCTCAGGCTGGCTTCTTGCTGGGATGTGGGCAGGGAGGGCTTGTTTTCCCAAAGCCTGTTAAGTAAAGCAGTGTATTCAGCGCTGTTCAGCTCCAGCCCAGCTTTCTGGAAATCCTGTGTGCATTGGCTTGTCCTCCTTTATTTTCTCAGTCAATTAAGAGATGGACTTCCCAGCCTGAAAGGGCCCTGGTGCGGGGAGGGCTGGGAGCTGTCTGCCCTCGGTGTCTGGGCTCACCGAGGTGCTGCTGCTCCCCGGGGCTCTGCACAAACCCTGCCTTTCATCCCGGGCCTTGGCTCACACCCCCGGGGAGCTGTGGGGTGAAGGGGGACTCCAGCCTCGCCTCCCTTCCTGTTTTGGGCCAGAAATGCCTTTCTCCCATCCTTGGTGGCAGGTTTGCTGGGCACTGGCTGCTGCCTGCTTGGCTCTCCCCAGCCCCAGGGCTCCCAGCTCTGGGTGTGACAGTGACAGGGTGACGTGTTCCTGACCCCCCTGGGCTGAGCCCTGCTGCAGATCCTGGGGACAGCAGTGCCCAGGGGGATCCTTCACCGGCCCTGGCTCAGGTGAGATTCCCAGCCTGGCTCTGAGCTTGCCCTGGAGCAGGAATGAATTTTTCAGCCTCCTCCTTCTTCTGGGCTCCCACCTTGTAGCTTAAACAAACTTATCTTCCACAGATCAGCTCACTTTTTACAACCATTGCTTATTTTCCCAAAATAAAGTGTGGGGGATGATGGATGAACCAAATGCTTCATTGTGATACACAAATACACAGTGCTACACCTAAGACAACAGTGTTAGTGTTGGGAGGACAGCAATGGGGTGAAGCATCTGACTGAAAATCCCTGGAGCTGCAGGTGATCATCGCAAGTGTCCCACTGTGTTCTCTGTCCTTTTCCACTGCTCCAGTACCTGGTGTATTCCTGTCAGAAGCTGCCTTCCAAAACGTGGCATTTTCCTGCTCACAGTTTTAAAGTTCCCCCACCAGCACCTTCAGCCTGTAGGTGCATCAAGAGGGGCATCAGCCCACCACACTCCTTGGAAAACAGGCTTGGTGAGACAGCAGTGGTGCTGGGCAATGTTTATTGGGCCAGGACCCTGTGCAGCCCCTGGGGCCTGTGCTTGATGCTGCCCCAAATGCCAGAGGAAGAAAGAAGCCTCCTCCTCCTCCAAGCTTTCTACCATAAATAGATAAAACAGCGTGGTTTGGTGTAGGGAGAGCTGCTGGCCTGGAATGTAAAGCTGAAGCACATGGCTGGAAGGGCTGGGTACCGAGAGGCCATCCGGCTGCAGGATGCCCTGCCAGCACTCCTCACCCCTGCTCTCTTGGCTGCATTTTTTTTTTCCCCTCAATAAAACAAGGCTTGTGCAATGTGTGTGTCTGTATTTTCTGCTGCTTTTCAGCCTACTCGATGGTTTTTGGAGGTGGCTGAGCTCCAGGATGGCCCTGGGCACTGGGAGTGTGGGATGCCAGTGGAGCTTGTGGGATCTCTGCATGAAAGCTCTGCAGGGCTGGAGCCTGGAAACAACAGAACCTGACCCCATGGAGGGGATCGCAGCTCACAACTAGGGAAAAAAAATGTTTATTTTAAGGCAGGATCCTCCTGCACAGCTCTTCTACCACCTGTCCTGCCCAGCCCTCACCATGCCTGAATCCTCCCTGCTCAAATTCAGGCTGGGTGCTCAGGGAGAGTGCTGGAGCAGCTCAGGGCTGGGTACTGCTGTGACCCTTCCCAAACCCACCGAAGCTGATGAGAGCCATTTCCCTGGCTCTGCCAGGCTCTGGAGCAACGCTTCATCTCCCTCTGCTGCACTTGAGCACAACGGGATGTGGCTGGGCAGCGTGCGGCCCCCAGCAGCACCCGAGGCTGTGTCGGGGGAAACGGGGAGGGAAGCGGGGTGCCAAGGCACGCACCAGGGTCCCGGGGGCAGAGCCGGGGCACTGCCAGCTTCGGCTCACGGCCGGGACAGGCGGACGGGGTAGGTGACCATGTTGAAGCTGTCCCAGGCGAAGAGCTGCCGCTCGGCAGGGTTGTAGTCCAGCATGCTGAGGTAGCGGAAGCGGTTCTCGAAGGGGATGCTGAGGGCTCGGCTGCTGCCCGTGGCGGTGTCGTAGGCAAAGTTGACGGTGGCGTTGGGAGCCGAGTAGCTGCTGACGGTGTAGAGGGTGCCGCAGATGAGGAAGGCGTTCGCCACCCCTCTCTTGCGGATGTTGGTCTCCCAGGTCCGACGGATCTCCAGCGTATCGGGGTCCAGCTTGGAGAGCACGATGGCTCCCCGGGCCTTCTCAGTGCTGTAGATGACCCAGAGCCCCGTCTCATCCACCGCCAGGTCGATGTCGGTGTAGCCCCCCCAGGAGTAGGGGTACTGCCCGTGGTAGCCGGCGCCGGGGATCTCCCTCTCGGCCGTGATGCTCTGTCCCCGCAGGTCGTAGCGGGCCACGGAGCGGGAATGGCGGGGCTGGAAGAAGAGCCCGCCGCGGTAGATGACGGCCCCCGTGCTCTCCAGGGGCCGCGGCAGGATGTGCACCTTGGCGGGGTAGCCCCGGGCCAGCTGCTCGGCCTCCTCGTACTGGAAGAGCTGGCGCACCTCGGTGCCCACGGTGTCCACACGCCAGGTGTTGTCCCGCGTGAAGGGCGGCACGGGCTCGGGGTCCTTCATCCACACGCCGTACTTGCCCGCGATGGAGTCCGCCCGGCCGAACACCACGGGCTCTCCCACCCACACCAGCTGCCCGCAGCCTGCTCGGGGACAGGACGGGACAGACAGGGGTCACCGCCAGCCCCTCGTGAGCAGCGGGACCCGGGGCCGGCCCGGCGTGCCCGTACCTGAGTCCTCCTTGCCCGGGCGGCCGAGCGCCGTCTCCTCCAGCAGCCGGGACACGGGAAGCTCGCTCCTCTCCGACTGCAGCTCCTGGTAGCTGAGGGGCTGCGGCTCCCAGCGCGGCGCTGCAGCGGGGCCGGGCACAGCGTGAGCGGGGCTAAGCCAGCCCCCCGCACCGCCCGCCTGCTCCTGCCGCCCTCGGGGGGCTCCGGGCCGGGCTGCCGCCCCCCGAAATGCCTCGGGTAGGAGCCCGGTGCCCTCTCCCACTGCAGCAGGGCACATCTGCGACTATCTCTTCGGGGGAAACTCCGAATACCCCAGATTAGCACGGTACATCACCCCTCTGCTGCGGGGCAAGCGATGGGATGAGGCGGGGTGGGGAGGGAGGTGTGGGGCAATGGGCTGCGACCTCCCGGCAAGGCTGAGCGCAGCAGGGTCCCCAAGAGTGGGTGCACAGCATGGGGGCCGCACAGGGCTCCCGGCCCCAGCACTTACCCTTGGCGGGGGCACGCAGCATGTCCCGGCCGGGCCCCTCTCTGCCGGGGGGGCAGCGGGCGGCCCGCAGCCGGGTGATCTCCTGGGCGCTGCTCTCCAGCCGCCTGCCCAGCTCCTCTTTCTCCCTCTCCAGCCGCCCCTTCTCCTCCTCCAGCCGGGACTTGGCCCGCAGCAGCTCGCCGTACGCAGCCTCCAGGCGGGCGGCCGCGGCCACTTGCTGGGGGTCCCGTGCGCCCCCCGGCTCGGCTCCCCGCGGCCCCGAGCCTCCCGCTCCTCGCTCCCGGCTCTCTAGCCGACTCAGGCGGGCGGCAAGGGCGGCCAGCTCGGCTCGCAGCTCGGGCACGCCGCCGGCAGCCTCGGGACAGGCGGCCTCCACGGGGCTGGCGACCGTGAAGGAGTAGGTACAGTGCCCGGAGCTGTCATGGGCGCGGCGGAGGAAGGCGGTGTCCGCCCGGCCGCCCAGGGCCACGGAACCCCAAAGCAGCACCCAGACCCCCAGCATGGCCCCGGCGCCGCCCCTCTGAGCGCACCGGCCACCGGCGCCCGCATTTATAGAGGATCGGGGCGGCGGAGGGCGGGCGAGCCGGAACCTTCCAGATGCCTGCGGGGGTACCGGCACTGCCCCGCCGCCTCCCCGAGGCCGTGTGCCAGGGGCGGGCGGGCCCGGGGCCAAACCCCATGGGGTCCGTTCGGGGTCGGGACCTGAACCGAACCCGCCGGTCCCGCCCCGCCTCAGAGCGGCCCCGCCTCAGGATGCCCCCGCCCCGCCTCAGGGCGGCCCCGCCCCGCCCCAGGGAGGCCACGCCCCGCCTCAGGGAGGCCCCGCCCCGCCCCAGGGAGGCCACGCCCCGCCTCAGGGAGGCCCCGCCCCTCCCCAGGGAGGCCACGCCCCGCCTCAGGGAGGCCCCGCCCACTTTCCCGCTCGTGTCTCCGCCCCCGGGCCGCCCGCCATCGGTAGCTCGGCGCTCGGCGCGGCGGGCGGAGCGCCGCGCGGTCGATGTGACGGGGACTCTCCGGCACCGGCCATTTCCCGCCGGCCCGGCCCGGCCCGGTGAGCGCGGGGGCGGCGGGTCCCGTCCTGGGCCTGCCGGGCGCTCCCTGCTCTCTCCTCCAGGCTTCTCTCCCCGGGCACGGAGCCCCGCGGCACACACCGGCCATGCCTCCCAAATTCAAGCGGCACCTGAACGACGACGAGGTGACGGGCTCGGTGAAGAGCGAGCGGGTGAGTGCCTCTCCCGCGGGGGCTGAGCGCGGGGTGAGCGGGCTCGGTGCTCACGGCCGGGGTGCCTTGGCCGGGTCTCCCGGTGCTGCCGCAGCGTTCAGCGGGGCCCAGCTGCCCGGAGCGCGGTGTCCGGGCTGTCCGAGCGCCAACCCCGGGCCGTGTGTGTCACCCCAGCCTCGGTACGGCTGTTTTGGGAACCTGTTGCGGCTCCTTCAGTCAGCATCACCGGGAGGTACCGGTGTGCTCCAGCCTCCTGCCCTTCCGCGGAGCCTGGCAGGGACACGGCCTGGGAGTGAAGTCACCCAGTGCTTCACAGCTGATTTTTTCCCCTGTCACTACGGTCCCCTCACATTTCAGGCTTTGAATACAAGTCCTAGTATTGCCTGGTTTGGACAGAGTGGATTGAACCCGCTGGGGTCAGGCTGTGCTGAAGCTCGCTTTGGGCTATGGTCAGAAATGCTGCTGCAGCTCCCGACAGCTGTCAGCGAGACCAGGAGCCCGTGCTGCCAAGAGCAGATTGCTCCTCCCCGGAGGGAAACAGCGGCTGGAACTATTGCATGGTGTTGCAGGTTTGCTTGAGTCGATTGAGCAAATCTGACAGAATGGAAATGTAGGTGAGCTTCTACATCAGAGCATCAGGCTTGCAGGTGGGAGCCCAGATCTACACACGGGAAAGCTGCAATTGTTGGTACCCCAAGAACCACCCTGGGCTCACCTCTTTAGTGTGTCACCTCCCTCTCTTGATTGTTTTTGACCCTGAGCAGAAATGTTTTTGTCCAGAACATTCAGGCTTCAGTGGGATTGTGGGGCTGCTCTTAAAAATCAGGTTTTGGATCCCTGGGGAGCCCTTTGGGGCGAAGCAGAGGAGCTGCCAGACCACTCTGCCCTCCAGCCCAAGGAAGCCAGTGTGTTCCCTTGTGGTCACCCCTCTTACACCTGCTGCCAGCAGATGGTGGGGAAACCACGTCCTCCAAATGCAGAGTGGATCTGATTTCCCCTGTGGATGGGACAGCCCAGGGTGGCCGTGGGTGATGCTGATATTTTGGAGTGCAGGGCTGGGGATTGTCCCTTGAGCAGAGAGGGCCTTCCTGCACTCAGAGGATGTTGATCGCATCCTAAGGGCTGGAAATGCATGTGTGAGATGGTGATTGCTTATTGATGAGATGGTTTTCCTGTGTTTGCAGAGGAACCTGTTGGAGGAAGACTCAGATGAAGAGGAAGACTTTTTCTTGTGAGTTGGAATGCAGTGTCATACCTGCCTGTGGCTCTTGAGACTGGGGGCTTGGGAATGAAAACCTTTGATTCCTTTGGGATGTTCTTCCAGAGCCTTGGCCCTTAAGCATGAATTAATTGGCGTGACCTTTGATAAGAGTGAGACGGATCCTAAGACATGGGAGGGACTGATGGGAGGTATGAAAACAATCCTCTGTGCTCAAGGCGTTGGTTCTCTCCTCTGTATCTTTTGGGTCTGGTTTAAAAACATGTTTTCACTGTACCTTCTGTCCTGATTGCTCTTTTCTGCCTGCAGGAGGGTGCCTTCTGGATCCAGATTTGGACCCAGGAATGACAAGATCAGGCAGTAAGTTGTTGTTCCTTAGTGTCCCAGAGATAATTATTTATTCTGGCACAGTGAACTCCTGCTGCTGTCTTGTCAGAGTATTTCTGTGTAGCTCATCACATGAACATTCCTTGTGCCTGTGTTCTTCTAATTGACCTGTGCTACCCCATGTGTCCACAGCTGAAGGAAATCTCAGCTTTGATGCAACCTGTCAAGAAATTGTGTGTTGACAGAGGCAGAGGGATAAGATTACATCACAGTCGCTTATTAGAGTCTCTGAAGCCCTTGTTGTGTTCTGGTGGTGACCTGTTCCATGCTTTTGTGAGGCTCTTTCTCTACAGCACTAACCCTGAATTTTAACCTTTCCCATTTTTTAATTTCTGATTTTACCTCATCCTGTAACATGCTCCTTAATGTTTCAAGGAAGTAAGTGGTCAGGAGCACACCAGGACCATGGGTTTTGGGCAGCAGCTGCTCCTCTGGCATCCTCTTCTCCAGACGAAAACCTGATACAGGTGACCTGGAGGTGAACAGTGACTCACTGGGGTCAAAGCAGCTGGAAAACAGGAAACCATTACATCTGGAGGAGGAGTGGGGCAAGAAGGAAGGAGTGAACACTCTGGATCCTTCTCCCATCGAGTCATTTCCTGGATGATGCTTGTTCAGCTCCAGTTCTTTTCCTGCCTTTTCCTGTAAAGGATGTGGTGGTGGTGCTCAATCAAAAGTGTGGGGATACTTGGAGCCCCCTGGTCTGTGTTACCCTGTTTCCTTTGCTGCTCTCTGTGGAGCCAGGACAGAGATCTGTGTGGGGACTGCTGCCTGGGCATTGTTCAGACTGGGTCTTGTTTGCAGCCTGAGGTGGCTCTTGGTTAGGGCTTTTTTCCATGCCAGGAAGAAGCCAGCACAGCTCTGGCATGACTCATTGCCACCATCAGCATTAGGCTGTGCTTGTTATCTCGAGGAGTGAAGGGCACTTGAGCTGCACAAGAGGCAGAGGGCAGGTGGCTGCACCCTGAATTTTCAGGGCATCTCTGTTCCCTCCAGAGTGTGAGGATGCTGTTGGTAGAGAGGAACTGCTCTGTGGAGTAAGCCACTGTGGATAGAGCCTCCCTTCTAGGGCATGATCTGGAGGGAATGAGAGTTTAGTTGATGAGTGGGGTCTCACCTCCATAGAAGGGTAGAGATGGGATAGTGTCTGTCCCTTCATCCTCCTCTGCTGGACAGCACCTACAGTATCTGCTGTGTTCCCTGTTGGTGGGAGAAAACAGCTCTTCTCTTTCCACTGCCTTAGCCTGGCAGGAGGGAGCAGTGGCTTAGGTAGAGGAGGGCACTGCACCTGTGAAAAGGAAGAAAAGTGAAAGAAGCATTTAACCAGGAGCTGGTGTGTCCCATAGGTGTGATGTTACTAGTGGCCCACACACGAGGCTTGCCCTTTGCCAGAGGTTGCCTGGATATAGTGGATGTGGCATGGAATATGTCCCTTGGGCTATCAAGGGCCTACATCTGTGGAGCATCTAGAGCATCTGTTACAAAACAGAATTTATTTTCTGCTCTCATTAGCGTTGATTGCTTTGTTTAATAAGCACTTACACCATGCAGTCATCACTTCTTGTCATGGAGATCACTATGAAGTTTCTGATCAGCTCAGCCCTTGTCCCTTGTGTAGGGATCAATGCCTGGTCTCGTAGTGAGTCAGTTTTCTTTGTCTCAACAAAGAAAGGGTTGGGTGGCTGCTGAAAAACTGTAAGGAAAAGACATTTTAAAGAGAAATTTGAACATTTGGAGAGCTGAGGCATAGCTGGGCAGAGCTAGAGAGGCCATGGCAGTACGGGGCTGGAGGAACGAGGTGTGAAGATGGGCGTAAAAGGAAACTGGGTGGAGGATTGGGTAGAGGAAAAAGTGATGGGATTATGGGAGCAAAGGTGTGGAACATGTTAAACGTGAGGGGCAAGACTGGAAAGTTTTCCTAGTTGTCCTTGGCAGGAAAGGGGAATGGATTGGGTCAGGGTGGAGTTTGGCAGCAGAGACCCTCAAGACTGGTTCAGCTGTGGGGAACATTGCAAACCTTGTAGGGGAAAGAGGTCAGCAACAGTGACAGGAGGATGTGTCAGTCCCCTTCAAGCTGAGCTTTGTCCTGCTGTGTCTGGAAGCTGCTTGGTTGGGGTGGACTCTCCTCTGGTAGCTGAGATGCCACATGGGGTCCCTTTGGCCCCTTTGAGGCCTCCAAATCCCCAGAGTGGGCTGGGGAAATGCAGCTTTAAAAGGACTTTTATCCTTTTCCCCAAAGGTACAAAGAACAGGTAAGGGAGAGCTGATCTCCTTTCTGTGCCTTTGCTTTGAGGCTTTGGAAGAAGTGCTGAATGTGTGCACGAGAGTCTTTTCAAGGGAAGCTGGGATGTTCATCTTCCAGCTGGATTTCTTTTATATGGAAAAGGAGCTTCTCATCACAGACCATCTTTTCAAAAATTCTGCTAAAATCAGCCCCTTTTCTGCACTGACTCACTTTGCTGCTGATGTTTGTGCTTTCAGGGAACTGTGCCATTGGGTTCTTGTCCATGCTGCTGCTGAGGCTCAGCATGGTGCTGGGGTTCCCCAGGAGCCTCTTGGTCTCTGTGAATCCCTCACTGTGCTGCTTTGGGGGGGAGCTGGGGTCAGCATTCCCAGCCCCAGTGGCTCTGGCTGGCTGCAGGCCCTGAGCATGGGGAAGCTTTGGGGAAGGGTTT